AGCAGCCATGAACTCTCAAAGCCTTCTTCATAGGATGATGCAAACTTGCAGCTGAAAGATCTTAGTTCCAGTAAATGGAGGGAGATACTCATGCTCTGAACCACTACTCTTCTACTTTTTCTGGCTGATAGGAGACTCAAGGATCAGTGCCAAGAGGAACTCATTATGTTAGTGGACAACATGACTTTCAACAACAGCAGGAGGCGGCCAAGCAGCACTCTGTTTACACATGAGAAGTAGAGATTAGAGAAAAATATAAGCAGCAGCTAGGGTTGCCAGATGGTTTAACCAAAAATAATTCGGTTGAGGGAAAAAAACGGGGTGAGGAAACCAAAGTTGTTGAGGGGGAAAAAGAATGACTCAGTTATTAAGCAAAATAAATAAATAAATAAATAAATAAATAAATAATAAAACAGCATGGCCCTTTCAGTGCATGCAGAGTCAGAATAGGGATAGGAACAGGGGAGTGGTTGAGCACTACAACCCAGAGAAGGCATTGCTTCCCCTTGGTCTTTAGGCTTTTTGCTGGTGGCCATTTTGTTTTCTTGATCAAGCCAGAACACAGCTTCCCCACAGAACCAGGTAAGCAGGAGGTCCGGGGCCAAGAGTGTCAGGGGCTCGGAGCAGGGGAGGCCAGGGGCTGGGCCCAGTTGCAAAGTGTGTCATAGGATTGCCAGGTGTCCGGTATTTTCGCCTCCTGGCCGGGGAAAAAAATCAGAAAATACTGGACATTTTAGGTATCCGGTATTTTCTGAATTTTTTTTTTACTGGACAGAAGGCAAAAATACCGGACTGTCCGGATCAATACTGGACACCTGGCAACCCTCGCTGCAGCCACTGTGATATCTAACTCACTCTGAACATACGGTAGAAGACAGACATCTGAAAGCATGAGGAGAAAAGAAAACCTGTCAAAGGAGCACAGTGACTGACAGAAAACCTTAAATTACAAAAACTAGAAGTATCCAGCCCTCCATTTCTTTATTCAAACATGCCCTGCCTTGGTTGTGTGTCATGCCTGTCACCAGATTGAGCACATCCAAGGCAAACTGACCGAAGGGTGACAATTTTGTTGCACAGCAATGTTGGAGGCTTGAAAATTTGTTTGCATTATGGAAAGGAAAGGAAAGGAAAGGAAAGGAAAGGAAAGGAAAGGAAAGGAAAGGAAAGTGCTTTATATCATACAAGTGTGTAAATACAGTTGGGGGTGTGTGTGGAGACACTCAGATGTTAAACTGGGGAAGAGGAGATTGTTGCAGTAAGAAGAGAGTGCAGGGGAGAAAGAGCGAATCTGCCTGGGATGGAGATACAAATGGGAGAGAAGGTTAGAAGAAAATGAAGAGAGAGAGAGAGGCTAGAAAGCTGAAAAGCCACAACCAATGGGTACACAATGAACAAAAAAAAGTATCTAATGCCCCAAGGTATGGTCCTGGAGTGGGAAAGAGGAGTTCATAGGGCTTGATCCCCTAGATGCTGTGTATGCATTATATATATGGGAATCTAGGTGCCTCCGCCTTCCACCCTAAACTGCCAAGTGCAGTAGGTATTGAGTTTTGGGAGAAGGACCCCAGCAAGGGATTTCCATAGGATACTTCCTGTGAGTGCCTTCTGGCTGCTGCTGATTTTGTTCCCTGTGTAGTAAGGAAAAAGGGAGAGCACTGTGCCTGACTTGTTTCCACTGCTCTCACCAGTGCTGGCTATTTTGAGCAAGGAGCCCCCACCTGTCAGAAGGTTTCCATAACCTACACCTGAAAGTTCTTCCTGGCTGCTGCTCTCCATGAGGAGGGAGGGAAAGGAAGTCGCAGGCCTTGTGCCCTTAACAGGCCCCTCTGGGTTTGAAAAAGTGATAGAGAGCCTCTGAGCTGCACCTGGCCCAAACACCATGGATGAAAGACTGAGTAAGGCTGTGTTGGCATCAGCACAATTCAGATTAACAGGTGGGCAGGAATAGGAAACTGCTGCAGGAATCCCAGCACAGTCGTGCAGGACAACATGTCAGGTTGACCCAGCGTACTGTGGCAAGTGTGTTAATCCAGAGCATCTTATGGCCATTGCTGCTATTTTACACATGCAAAACACATTGTTCACATTGAACCCTTTTACTTAAAACCTCAGCCCTAGTAGTGAATTTCCCAGAGCCATACTAGTATGTGCTCGCATACTCGTGTGTAGGGTAACATCTTCACACATCCAACATGCAGCCTATTGATTGCATGAGGCCTTTGTATGCTCTACATCTTTTTTCCTTTTCCTCTCCTTACTTAGAGAGAAGGTGCTGACCTATCTGAGAAACACTAAAAATACACAGACACAAATGGAGACATATTCCCCTACTCCCACTTCCTTTAGTAGGTGGGTCTAGAACTCTCATGCTTACAAATTCACATTTACCCCTCTGTGACAGTCCCCTCTTGGCCCCTGCCACAACCCACCCACTGGCTGCCATGCTGCTCCTTTTCTATTCTTGGTCCTGCTATGAGTGCAGGGGACTTGATTTCATGACCCCTTGAGGTCTCCCACTTCCCGTCCTATGATTCTCACCTATATAGACCCGTCCACTACTCAAGTTAAACTGCTCAACCCACTTCTCCTGCTACTTTCCGGCAGAGAACAGCCCCTGAGCCTGCCATGCCACCATTGTCTGTCTTCCTGACTCAGTTTAACTGCAAGCACAGTTGCCAACCCTCCAGGATTGTTCTGGAAACTCCAGGAAGCAAAAGATTACTCTTGAATTCAAGATTATTTCATGTGATGAAATTTCCAAGAACATATCCAATCAAAATGGGCAACCCTAATGGCAAGGAGGTAAATTTGTTGTTTTTATGGGAATTCTCCTGAGCCCAGTATTGGTTTCACCATTCAATTGCCTTTTGAGATTTTACCCTTTAAAAAAAACAACCCAAAAGGGTACTGGAAATAGTTACGACAACATAATACTGGTTATCTTTTGTTTTCTGTGTATTACACCGTGGGAGCCTGAAGTCCTTTTATCTATATGAGCCAGCTAATGGAAGAAGCACAGAGACTACAGTGCCTAGACAGTTAACTAGATGTTCTTTCCTTGTGACTAAACTTTTATTCCACATATGTGCCAGACACCACATGGAATACTACCAATAGAGATCTGTTAGCTTGAGTCAGACTAGTTTGCTTGGTGTTTTTCTGAGCAATATGACACATCCTTTCCAAATACCATCACTGCTTAATAAGAAAACATTATTTCTAAATGGCAATAGAAACACTAGGTATCAGTCAAGAAGATAATTTCACAAGGTACAGTATCAAAAAGCTAGTGCACACAGCACAGGCACTCAGAAGAACTGGTTTATTCATGCTGACAGCAAGACCATGATGTCTTGTGCTCTCTTGATGACAGATTCTTCTGATACTATATGTTAGTCTCCTCATTTCCAGAAATGATAAAAGATACCTGCAATACCGACCTTTGATAAAATGGCGAAAAGTAAGGCACTGTGACTTTGCTGGAGTTCCATGGAGACTGTTGGTATCAGAACAACTTTACTATAATCACATTTTAAAGACAGATAATTTCTGATGGACATAGCACATTGTAGCACAGACCTTGATCTTGGAACTAATAACTGCCTCATTTTACCCATCTGAACTACTTCTCTGGTTTTATTATGGCTAATTCTGTGCAAGTAAGGATTTTTTCTATGGTAGGATCGGGCCCTTTACTTGCACATTGCATGCTTATACACTTTCCAGCATTCTACTTCGGAACTTTAAAATAACGAACTTATGTTTTGTCACTGGGTTGTTGCTTAAACTGGCAAAGATAATCTGCTGCTAGCTTTGCATTTTGATATATCTTATTTAAGTCCTCCTTCTTGCACAGAATTATTTCCCCTCATCACCACCACCAAATAATGCTAAAACTGACTCTCTGGTAGCCTATATACTGGGTTTCAAATGCAGCCACCTGCCTTGTGAAGCTTTAGTCCAATGAGGGGAAAAAAACACCAAACTGTTACAGTTACCAGCAAATCCCCAACATTCCATGCTGGAAAATCATAACCACAGCCTGTTGCTATTTTAACTGTGCAATCCTTGAATGCAACTTTTACTAAGTACCTAACTAAAACACTTAGAATACCATCAACACTATGGCTCTCTTAGCTTCTCCAGATGGCCTATATTTCGCACACTCCATTTTTACCTATACCACAAACCAATTACTTCTTACCTTTGTTTCTGAAGTACCAGGTGTGCTCTCCTAAGATGGCCTACTCTCTAATGGTGCATCTACACTGCACCTATAGGTCAAAATAAGATACACAATTTGAGCTATGCAAATTGCGTATCTTATTTCTATCTAATTTCAAAATAGCTTATTTCAAAATTTGGTGCTGTCTACACAGTGCCAAATTTTGAAATAAAGCGCTATTCTGAAATGTCCCTTAATCCTTATGGAATGAGGGTTACAGAGACATGCCCGTTATTTCAAAATCTACTTCAAAATAACGGGCACGTTTAAAGACATGGAATAGTGCCGCTGTCTAGACGTAGCCTAATTGACTGTAGAAAGAGGCCACAAATGAAATAGGAAGAAACTAATTTTAGATCATGTAAATTGTTGTATTTTTCTGTCCAAAAGGAACAAGGTATTTTTCATATTTAAAAAATATTAGCTCTTTTTAATAGATTCTGAAAGACTGAAAAAGCTGTTCGCTCAAAGTAACTCCTTCTTTGCTGGGTGCACAGGGTTTGTAATGCTCAGGTTATTCACCAGCATTGCTATAACTTTTAAACGGCACTGGCAAACTAGTTTTATGAGTTCATTGACTTTGTATTTATTGTAGTTGTAGATAAGTACTTTCTCTGAAATACACACTATTGTATCCACAGTCTTCAACTATTGACTCAGTAATCCACTGGTGTCCTATTGCTCATTGAGATCTTACCTGTGTTATACACTGAATGACAAAAATATTAAATGATCAGTCAGAACTCTCTCTGCAGCACAGTATTTTAAGCTTGTCAATCTGGTCACTGGCAGATTGCCAGAGGAAATTCCAGAGACAAGGGCTCTCAGCTCCGAGCATCCTGCATAAAAGAACTTCAACAAAAGTACCTGCACTTGCAAAACTGCACTGGATGACCTCAAGAGTTGGAATGGGATATGAAAAGAACTGACAGCTCAGTATCCAGCTGTATAGGGTTCTAAACATGACAGAGAGGAAGGCAATGCTGGCCAGTTATAACTTCGCTGGGGGAGTTGGGAAACCGGAGTTCAATTCCTGTTTCTACAACAGGTTTTCTGTTTGCCCTGGGGCAAGGCTCTTGACTTCTCTATGCCCCCCTGGATCACTATACTCATCTTGCTTTGTAAAAACACTTGGAAATCTGTAGATGAAAAACATGGCATAGGTTCCTGTTATATTCTATGGCAAAACTCCCATTGAGCTTAATAGTGCAAGAGCCTACATCTAGAGCTGAACAGGCAACCATCAGTGTAGCACACAACTTACAAATATTAAACTGCAGTTAATGGCAAAACTTAAAAAATGACTAATAGTCTAGCACAGGGGTCTCCAACGATTTTATGTACGAGATCACTTTTTGAATTGAAGTGCAATCCAAGATCTACCCATGGTCTTGGGTTAAGGGATTTAGAGTGTGAGGGGCTCTCAGCTGAGCTTGGGGCAAGTTGTTGGGTGCAGGGCTGCTCGAGGCTAGGGCAGGGGCATGGGGCGGAGGAGGGGGGTCATGACTTGGGTAGGGGTTCCGAACCGGCTCCAGCTGAGCACTGCTTAGCTCAGTTGGCTCCTGGGTGATGGTGCAGTAGAGCTAAGGCAGGCTCGTCCCTGCCCTAGTCCTGTACCACTCCCAAAAGCAGCCAGCAAACTTGCTCTGTCCCTAGTCCTGTTGTGCCCCCTCTCTGCTCTGTGGAGATAGGATACAGGGTGGGAGAAGGGGGCACCTTGACATCAGCACCCTCCTTTCCCTTCCCTATCCTGCACAGAATGCAGGAGGCTCCTGGGGGAACAGCTCAGAGGCAAAGGGCTGGAGATGTGCAGCAGTGGGAAGAGGAGCAGCTGAAGTGCTGGCACTTGGTAGTCTCTTAGCCAAACTAGTCAGGATCACCTGTCACAGGCTCTAAGAGCCACCAGTGGATCCCAATCTACTGATTGATAACCAATGGTCTAACATCACCTTAAAGACTAACAAAACATGTCGATGGTATCTTGTTAGTCTTTAAGGTGCTGCTAGACTATTCACTGTTTTAAGTTTTTCCAGTTACAGACTAATTCGGCTACCCCTCTGAAATTAATGACAGAGTCAGCTGCAGGATCAGGCATGTACATTTAAAATTTTAGACTTATGAAAAAGATCAAAGCATGAATTGCAATTATATCTTGCAACTGAGGCATCATATTTCACTTGCACACTCACACAGAGTTACAGAGTGCAGTTACACTTTATTGGCATGGCTTTTACATCTTTCCTGGGAGTTTCGCATGGGTAGTAAGTACATGGGTAAGAGCTGATAGCTCCAAATCTTCATTTTACTTTCATTTACAAAAATACCTAGCAGCTAAAAAGAAGTTTAAAAAAAGTAACTAAAAACCGTTTCTGTGACTTTGTTTGCCTTATTTGTATCATATGCCAAATGTTAATTCCCATTGCTGATCTCCTACAAAAGCAATGGAATACCCCTAACAATCATGATGTGAACAGAACTACACTAATTACACCAGATGAGAGTCAAACTGAGTTTTAAAAATGCAGATGCCCACTGAACACAACTATTTGGAAGGCTCCCCGTCCTGCCCTGTTAAACCAAGTAAATGCTGTTATGGGATATACATGAACTGTACCATTATTAATATAATGGACTGTTTAAGGAATCTATCACCCTGACTTATCAAATGATTTATCAGAAAACTATCTGCAGCATTATGATGCCTTGCCTGAATAGGTAATGGTACTTTATTTTTATTGTTTGCATTGTAGTAACACTCATCCCAGACAAGAATGAGATCCAATTGTACTAAGTACGTGCGAACACAGAAACATCTTCCCGGTCCCCTCACTCCAACAGCTGTTAAAAAAAAGGATGGTGGGAGGATATTTGAAGATAGAAAATGTGCTCCTCCCATCTGTAGCTTAAATAGTCGTTAATGTTATTTGAATTAAATATTGCTTATATAAAACAGAAATATCCAGCTGTCGATCCTGATTAAAAAACAATTTACGCATGTGCATAACTAAGTCCTTAGTAGTCCCATTGACTTCAAGAGGACTACACATATGGTTCAGGTTACACACACACACACACACACACACACACTGAAGCAACTTCCCAAATTTGAACTAAAGAGTGTAACCAGCATGGATGCAATTTATCTTTTTATTCATGTGGTCCATTATCTTGGCTAGTACAGACTCCTATAGTACATTTTGGCACAGTAAGCTTGGAAATGACTCAGGTGATAGGAGTTTCCTCCCTTTCCTTTGGAAGAGCAATTCACATCAAATGAAACTTACGGTCAGGAAGTTTTCCATTTCTTAATTTCATCCCAATACCTCGAATTATAGTTAGGGAGCAGAGGAAAGGTACCTGAGAATGAGTCCATGGCAAAATTGGGCATTATTATGAGTAGGGTTCCATTGTTTTCCTCTGCCCATGAAAAACTTTTCTGGTAACCCTCCAAATCATTCCTGAACATGATAGGCTGCAAGATGGCTTTGTATACGCAAGAACAACTCCCATCACTTGGGTGGCTGGAAGTGTGTCACTCAAACCCTTTATCAAATACACTTCAGAAGCTATTTTTCAAATATTACCACTTATTTTCCAACTGTTTACAATATACATTTAGCAGTGATGGCTTCTGTTAGCAGACAATCTCCTGCTCTTGACCTACATTAGCTGGGCTCGAAGTATCTCACTGAAATCAGTGGCATTCTGTGTGGGCACAAGGGTCTGCTCACATGGATCAGATCGTGGCAGAGACAGGACCAGAACTCATAGAAAGCACTCATCCAAGCCATTTCTCAGCAGTATCTGTTAGGAACTTTGGCCTCTGTATAAAATGCCTAAAACCAAACAGCATTCTGTGCCCCTTTTCACCCCAAAAATCAGAATCCAAGAAGGCCTCTGATCCTTGGTGGAAGGAGCTCAGAGTCCTCCTACCTCACACCACTGCTGACATGTAAATCCCCAGAATAAGTAAGATCAATATGTAACAAAAAGTCAGCCAGAAAGGGAGGGGCAGGAGATGCCACTCCAGCTGGCATGCTGCAGACGCTTTAAATAGAAAACCCTTCAGTGCTCAGGACTGGCACTTACAGAATAAAACCTAATTACAGCCAAATTAACCAGAAAGTCTCACTAGCAGATTTTCATTTGTTTGAGTCAAACACTATTTGGGGAGGGGAGAGTAACATGGGAAACCTGGGATCCAGGCCTCCCAAGTGGAATGTCCTGCCCATGCATGCAGGCTTGCTCTTTTCTGGAGAGAGAGTACCTGTTAGTCAGCTCCTCCTCTTCTTGGGGCTCCACAAACCCTTCGGGGACTTCATCCTCCATAGAGAAGGAAATCTCAGATGCTCTGCCGCACCCAGAGCCAGAGAAACCCTCCACTGAGTTCAAGCCCTTGCTGGGATTTTTACCCCTATCCTGTCCTCCCCAGGGTTGCCTGAAGCAACTGTCATCCCCAGCAGCTTCAGTTCTCCTGACTCAGGGGAGTCTTTAAATAGAAGGCAGGAAAGTTACAACACCAAGTTGCTGTTGCTGCCTAGGTCTTACCACTGGGTCCTAGCACCAACCTCACCCCAGCACACAGTGAATGATAAAAAGGACAATCCAGCAACTGCAGCCACTTCTCTGGGCTGCTTAGGCCATTCACAAACTCAGCTCATTTTGCTACTAAGAAGCTTTTGATAACAGTATTTTATAGCCAAACATGCTGGCTAAATGAGTTACAAAAGAAATACAAGTCAGAGCTCCAAGTGACCGTCCCAAAGCAGAAGAAAGGTAACACACACTCAAGTTGGGGCTAGGAAAGTGGGGAAAGCAGACATGTAGAAAGGTATAATTTTCTCTCAATATTACTTATTCAAAGCTTATATATAATGTTCCAGGGGGCTTGTAAGGCTACCTCTAGACTGCAAGCCTCTTTCGAAAGAGGCTTTTTCGAAAGTATCTTTCCAAAAAGCCTCTTTCGAAAAAGAGCATCTAGACTACAACCAGTACTTTCAAAAAAGCAAGCTGCTGTTTCAAAAAAGAGAGCACCCAGGCAATCTGGACGTTCTCTTTCAAAAAAGCACAGTTTGCATTACGTAGCACCTTTTTTCGAAAGAGTACTTTTGAAAAAAGGCGTTATTCCTTGTAAAACAAGGTTTTCTGCAGTCAAAAAAAATGCCACATTCTTTCGATTTACTTTTGAAAGAAGGCGGCAGCAGTTTAGATGCAGGTAAAGATTTTTTGAAAAAAAGGCCACTTTTTTCAAAAAAATCCCTGTAGTCTAGACACACCCTAAGAGGGTTAACAATAAAATAGCTTTTAAAAAACGCAAACTTTTTATAAAGATTAAATGACTAAACACAGCAAAAAATAAACAGCCCTAAAAATGAGCGTAATGCTTGTGAAAGGTCTTGGGTGATCCTGGTGTTTCAAGTTTCCTATCCTGACTCCTTGAAATTGGAATACTGAGTTTATGCACCATGTGATGGGAGCCAATTCAAAATCCTTAGTTAGAAAATGAAGATGCAAGTATCGTAATTAGGCATTCAGGTTACAAGGTAATGGCAGGCATGATTAGATTTACTGCTCAGAGGCTACAGTACCCTGAAAAAAGTTGTGACTTTCCCTTTCCTTTCCATATGGTAACTCTGCTAGATAGTATTTTCTAAAGCCTATAAATACAAAACAACTCACTAAGATGTGGATGAAGATGCAGCTGCAGTTTGAACAGCTACTGATAGTGGGTATTGTTATTGATAAGCAAACTAGCAGACTAACAAAATCTGCTTTTCCTCTACAGCAGATGGAAATTAGCCACATTTGCACTGCAATTATTCCTACTATCAAACCAAGTGCCTTTGCTTTACACAGCAAGGAGAAAACTAGCTGCAATATTCCTAAATTAGAACTAACCAAATGAAGTGCTTGACACATTGCATGGCAGTTGCACCTGCATTTCCCTCACAGTGGTTCAGTGATAATACTCACCATCAGGCCTCCAAGCTCCTCTAAACATCACCTGTTGTGTGAAGACACTGGTCTCACTTCCTCCTGACCAGGGAACCTCTAGGCTTTCCAGTCTCCTGACTATACTGGGATGTCCCAGCAGGAGATGCTGCCAAAACAGGCCTTCTTACTTTTTCTTCAGGCATTACCAATAGAGAAACTGCTCACAGTTATGTGTTACCACACAACACTTCCCAAGGTAAAAGCACCACAGAGAAAACATTAAACAATACAAGAACCTACACACATGCTAATAAGCTTATCAGTGATGCTCCCAATTGGAATAGGGGCTCTGGGAGGAGCAGTTCCATACAACCCCATCCAAAGATGGGCTGAAGCTGCTGCTGTTATTAAAGTCCAACTCTATTTTATCCCGGGTGTTTGGGATGCAGTTCATCACTCTTATGGTCCTGTTACGGAAGCAAGGGGGTCAAAGGTGTTAACATCACCTAATCATTGTCCAACACTAAGCAGTATTAAACAAGGTTCAAGTTTTGGCATACAGAGACTTCAACCTACTTAGTACCTTGGCAAACACACCATTAAAAAATTAAAGATAAAGAAAACAGTTAAGGCATGTGCAATATAAAGTATTAAATAAAGTATTTTAGCAACATCTCTTGTTCTTTTTCTAGGTGGAGAATCTTTTGAAAACAAAGTCCCTTCTTTGGCAGTCTCTTAACAATGCATCTACATTGCACCCTTACCAATTCAGTAGCTTTTTTGAGGTAACTTCGAAATAAAGTGCTATTCTAACCCTTGTGGAATGAGGGTTACAGGGACGCTAGAATAGAGCACCTGTTATTTCAAAATATATTTCGAAATAACAATTCTTCACATCTTGGGAGTGATGCCTCCTTTTAAGCTACCACCAAAAAGTACACTTCAAAATAGTTACTCTGAAGATATTTTGCTGAGGAGTATGGGAATACTTGTTGGAGGAAACGTGGTAGCGCAGGATTATACCCACACATTTGAAGGCACTGCCTTCTGGACGCATGGATTCCTGGTTACAGGTAGAGCTGATTAAAACTATTTCTTTTTTAAAAAAAATTAGCAATTCTCACTGATTTTTTAAGCCATTGAGTTGATGACATTATTGAGCTTTCTAAAGAAAGATAATAAGGGAATTTTAAAAGGAGACTAACTTATCCTACCAGCAAATTTTTGGCAAAGATGGGGGAGTAGTGTGGGATACAAAATCATTTGAAGTGTAAAGAATGCGAACAAGGAGATCTCTCTTTATGTAATACCTATTGCCCTTTCTGCTTTATCTATTGTAAGGGTTGCATGCTCTAAGGGCTTGTACACACTACTGCTGAAGTCCATGTAAAAGGTTTCTCTTGGGTGGTGGTTTTTCCACACACCAGGACGACTTAAGTTGCACTGACTTAAAACAGCATCTACACTGCACTATGTTGGCAGAAGATGCTCTCCCGCCAACATAGTGTCTGCCTCTTGTTGAGGTGGAGTAATTATATTAAAGGGAGAGCACTGTCCTACATCTGCACAGCTGCAGTGAAAGTGTAGTGAAGACATTTCCCATGAGATAAGTTTGTGGAAGATTATTCATGTAATTGTGCAGCTTGGACATGCTGCTCACTTGAAATGCATCTGAGATGTTGTCTTGAGTATGAATGTTCCTGTGTAGATCTTCTATTTCCATAAGATTTTGTACTTTGTTGCATAGGAATAGCTAATGTCTTTTTGAACATTTTATACACATTTCTACAGGTCATTAGAGAATCTATGACTGACATTTTGTGCAACAAGTTTTCATTGTTTTTTATAAAGCCACTTGATCATACTTCTATAATATATTTAAACAATGGCTGACTCATTCAGACAATTTTTATCTCACGAAAAGGAAACAAAACCTGATCTGGAATAAAACTTTTCAGGTTTTGTAGTTCAAGAGCAATCAAGGAGAAGATTAAAGTTATAAAAGCAAACCTGTTTTAAAAAATTAAATTACAAATTAAAGTGAGATCTAGTAAATGATTTTAGAGTAGCCAATAATCAGTTTAATCCTAAACATGAAAAAGAGTTGTGTAACTTTTTTAAAATTCTGCAATTGATGAAGCATAAATAAAAATTACCAGAAAACATGGATTCAAGTACAAGGTATAAGATTCTAACAGCAAAACAGAAATTTCTGGTTTTGGACAAGGCAATCCTTAGAGGACTTCACATTCTACACAATCACGGGGAAGTAGCAAACATTTAGAAGAGCTCATGTAAAGTTAGAACAAAATGAAACAGAGAGGTTACTTGTAATTTTCCATACATAAACTTTATTCCACTGGACACCATACAAAATATTAAACTTAAAAGAAAAATGAAAATATTAATTTGACATCATCAAGAAATAACAATTTTAACATATGAATTGGTCTGCAATAACAAATACGTGAGAGGCACAAACTGTGCTACAGCAGGTCTAAAAGAAGTTTCACCTTTTTTGGAAAAGTTAAAATTTTCAAGATTACTTTTGAAATTTCAATTTACAGCAGCTGACCAATTTACAAATATTTACAGAAAATCAAAACAAAAGACTTGGCTTATTAGCAGCTTTTTTAAGCAGCCATCACTACTACTTTGCATATGGAAAGGAAACATTAAAAGAGATATCTGACCTAATCCGTATGAATATTATACATGGAAAACCAATGTCTGTAAATGCTTAATTTCAAATGTAGTAGCTCTGCTGCTCTAAAATTCCAGTTTCAATAATTCCTGGGATCAGGAACATAATAATGAGGGTATAATTTAATTTTAATAAACTGTTACTGTGGTTCTATGTAAGAGGGAAATAAAACTGGAAAGTGCCAAGTAGAGCAAAAGTGCATACTGCTTTAAGCAGTTGTAAAGCACAAGCTACTTATTTATCAAGAAACGTGCAATGTTTAAGGATACAGCTGGACTTTTATACATTGCTTGGTTTTTCAGTCCTTTATTTCAGTATTAAGTGTGGGTGAAGTAACCATTACACAATTAATAGTAACAACAATTTAATATACTCTGATAGTGTCCTTAAAATTAATTTAAGTCCTGTGGTTTGAAATTTGGGTCATAATAGTCTCCTATACAAGTCAATGGTGTACGGATTTTTAGAAAATCCATCTTTGAATTAATGGTTATATTAACAAATGTCATAATAAAATATGTAATCTTTCTTATAAACATTTCCATAACAAAAACTTGAAAGCGAAAACACTTCATAAAAAACCATGGGGAAAACTGCATCTTGGTTTTGATATTGTTCTTTATATTTCAGCAGACTCCAGTAAGAAGGAGGAGGAAGCTTATTATCTTTTCTGTGTAGTTGGTCTTACAGGCAGTATACAGTTCAAGTCCCTCTTGTCTCGTAATCTCTGCCATGACTGAGGAAAAAAGTTTCAAGGTTTTAAAAAGTTGTTCTTCTATATCATCACATTCTTTACAACTGAAAGAGCTTAAACCCCACTCAGACCCACAAAGAGTTTTAAGAAGAAATATTTTATCAGGTTCTCTCCTCAGTCTTCTTTTTCAAGACTAAACACACTCATTTGTAAACTTTCCTCATACATCAGGTGTTTTTAGATCTTTCATCATATTTGTTGCCCCTCTCAGAGGACACAAAATACCTACTAAATATGACAATATTTTTAAAAGCAGAAACATATTTTTGCTAGTGTCCATGACACAGAAGGATACTCAATTAAAATAAACTACTTGTTTCTTGCATTGAAAAAAAAATCTGATCTCCACTTCCTTCTTTTTGTTGGAGAAAGCTCAACAGTAATATCTGTTTTGAAAAAATCTCAATCAACCTAGAGTACAAGTGCAGCTTTAGCACTTAACTCCAAACAAGTATCTCACGTTCAAAGCAAAAACCCTAAGGGAGAACAGTGAAAGGAAACAGGAAGAGGGGAGCATTGAGCCCCTCTAAGGCCCAAATCTTACATTCCAACAGGGAAAGTTGCAGGTCAGGTAGCAGTCCTGCTCACTACAATTAATGTCCTCCTAAGATTGTGTCAATAAGCCCTTCTTGCTGAAGAAATGTGTACCAGATAATTCAAGTGTGTACAAAGAGCAAAAAAACAATTTGTATACTACTGGAGGCCACATTTACCCATAGTTGAATGAGCAGTAAAGGCACAAATATTTTTGTTTCATAACTCCTTTTCTGATTCCCATAAGAAACACCACTGAATCCAGGCAAGGCTAAAAGTGTTTTACCCCCGAAACAGTAATAAGACTTTCAAAGCTGACTAAAGGATTTGGATATCCAATTGTCATTACAATTTATCTCTGCCTTGGAGTTCTGATTTTAAACCAAGACCATTATGAAATTTTCATTTTAGGTGCCCACTTCAGCATTAGCACTGCCCTTGTATGCACACACAGAAGCATTACAAAACATTGTCACCACTTCATATTTCTCTCTTTCTCCATATTTTGGGATGAGTTCCTATTACACAGATTGTGAAGTGTAAGGTAAACATCTCAGGCCACAAATCCACTGACCCTCTACTTTCATTTTTCATTCCAAAAACTTTATTGCAGACAAGAGGGCTACAACAATTAATCTGATATACATTTTTACCTTTAGAAATTCATCCTTGATAATGTCAAACTTCTGTTTTTCATGTACAGCCCTAGCTGTGTTTGTTCCATCAAAAGGCTCTGCAAAGTTAAATGTTAACATTTCAGTGTTAAAAAAACCAAACTCTCTTCACCTAATAAATGACTCTGTGAAAAGCAGAGATGAGTCAACATATTGTCTGTCACTTATTATAAAGGGACTTTTGGCAACTGGTTGCATTTTCCCTTTCTGACATATACTGTGCAGGTAATTCTCATACCATAAAGACACCACACTAATATTCTGCTGTTGTAGTACAGATCACTGAAGTTTTACTCTTTTCAATGCAGATAAATGGCATCATCAGTGGCAGTACTAATACAGGTCTTCTATTATCTGCTTTCATGCATTACACAAATATTTAAAGTATTATAAAAATCAGTCTATTAGGAACTTCAGAACAAGGAATAAAGCAGCTAACGTCCTTTGTTAATTCATATATCATATATTTCTAAGGCATTTTAAATATTACTAAGTATTCTAAATAAGGACGGTCCTTTTACAAATCAATAGTTGGTATTATACATCTAAATATGATATTGTGCAACAGTTGCACATGGACCTTTCACAACAGTCTGTTTATATAAGATCTACAAGTAACTATGGGTATGTTTACACTACAAAGTTAGTTCGAACTAACAGACGTTAGTTCGAACTAACTTTCATAGGCGCTACACTAGCGCTCCGTTAGTTCGAATTAAATTCGAACGGAGCGCTTAGTTCGAACTAGGAAAACCTCATTTTACGAGGATTAAGCCTAGTTCGAACTAGCTAGTTCGAATTAAAGGGTGTGTAGCCCCTTAATTTGAACTAGTAGTAGGCTAGCCCTCCCCAGGTTTCCCTGGTGGCCACTCTGGCCAACACCAGGGAAACTCTATTGCCCCCCTCCCGGCCCCGGACCCCTTAAAGGGGCACGGGCTGGCTACAGTGCCTGTGCCAGGTGCAAGCCTGCCAGCACCCAGCCAGCAGACCCTGCACCTGGCACGGATCGAGCCACCCACCCGATGCCCCCCAGCCCTTCCCCTCTTCCCGGACCAGGCTGGCGGCTCCTGGGAGCTTGCCCGGGACCGCAAGAGGCGGG